GAGCCGCAGAGGAGGCTCCGCAGGCCTGCCGGTCTCCTCCTCGGCCTTCTTCTCCTCCTCGTCCTCCTCCTCCTGCGCCTCCTCCTCCCCTCGAAGACCCTAATCGCTCTCGCTCTCTCTCTCTCTCTCTCTTTCTCTCTCTCTCTCTCTCTCTCTCTCTTTCTCCCAACTTCCGGATCTCCGCGTACATTTCTGGGATCGGCGCCTGGACCACCCTGGCGGCGCCTTCCACCGCCGCCCCTGGCGCCTCCCGCGCGCCAGGGAGGGAGGATCTGGTGCCGATCCAAGAGGTCCGCGCAGACCTTGGACAGTTTACGTTTCTGTACAGGCGTTTCTGTTAGTTTCTGCCCTCTCTCTCTGGCGATGCCAGCGCTGATAGCGACAAGGTGGCGATGTTCCGCAGGTGTGTGGGTTTCAGGAGGCTCCTGGAGAATCCGCCTCCCTGGCCGCCATGGCCCTCCTCGTCGTTGTCCGCCTCCCTGGCCCTCCGCCTTGTGCCCTTCCCCTGAAGTCGGGCATGTCCCTCTACAGGAAGAATATTCAAAAATAGTCAAAGAATAGTCTGGGGACGACTGTCGGAGTATTTTTGGACAATTTTTGAATATTTGTTGATTATTTTTATTGGTTCCTCGAAAATACCCCTGTAGGTGGACAGGCCCGACGTAACACTTCCCCTGCGGCTCCGACCCGGGGGCCTCCTAGTCGGGCATCCCCTCTCGGCCTCCCGGGCTGGCCCCCTCCGTCGTCCGGGGGGATCCGGAGTCGGAGCGCTGAAATCAGGAGCCGCTCGGGTGCGGAGGTGGCTCGCCGTCTCTGCTGGCGCCCCTCGTGCACCCAGGTGCGCTTGGGGCTGGAACGGGACTCCCTTCCCGATTCGAGCGGCGTTTGCCATCCCGCCGGCCCCCCACACGAAGTGAGGAGCCCACATAAGCTGACGGCGCGATGTAGGGGTTAGAATGTCTTACGTGGCGGCATCGGTTTTCGCCATGTCGGGTTGAAATATGGTCTGGAGGATGGACAGCCAACCATGTCACACACCCACACACACCTTTGCATTTCCGGCATGCGCAAGTTGGAGGATTCAGGCGGTCGATTTGGGCCTCTTGGCCGCCTCCTGGGGCTTCATTGGGGCTTGCTGGCGGTCTCGGGGTCCATCGTATGGCGGGTGGCTCGAAATGTCGTTTCGTGTTCCCGCTTTTGGAGCTCTCTCGGGGCGCTCTTGGAGCCGTCTTCTGCAATAATTGGGGTCTTCGGGGCTGTCTTGGGGCTCTGTTGGGCTGTCTGGGGGCTCTCGTGGGAGCCTCTTGGGCCGTCTTAGGGCGATTTTGCTGAGCTCTTGGGCCATCTTGGAGCGTCAGCAACCCGAAACAGCCAGAAAGCTAAAATCCTTCAACACCCTCGGGAAATTCAATGCGTGTGGCCTCTGGAGGGGGCCTCTTGGAACGCTCTTGGTGCGTCTCGAGGATCTCTTGAGCCGCTGGAGGGCATCTGGAGCCTCTCGGAGCGCCCTTGGGCCGTCTCCGAGCCCTAATTATCGGCCCGTCTTTGGGGGCCTCCCGGGATTCCCATGGTTCGTCTTGAAAGCAGCGCCAGTGAGCCCGTCGTCTTCCCCCACAGCCCCACCACCCCGACAAACGCGATGTGTGAGCAGGGGGGAGGGGGGAGTACAGTCAAAAACCTGAATAAGGACGCGCGATTTTGCTCAGGGTACCCTTGCGTCCTTGCTCTTCCTTGCTCTTGCTCAGTCTTCCTTACGTGACGCGTCAGTCCTCCTTGCGTTTTTGACTGTAGTGAGGTCGTCGTTTTCTTATTCATTATTTTGCCGATCGCGCGCGGGCCCTCGCACCGTGCATTCCCTTCCCCCCCCCCCGTGGAGCAGGTCTTTGCTGTTCTGGGCGCCGGTTTCAAGGAGGTGAAGCCTCCCCCACAGGACGTACTGTTGCAAGCAGTCGCGTTAAGCAGAGGTCCAGAGTCAGACCCCCCCCTCTCCCCCGTTCCGCCCAACGTAACGCCGAATAAGAACCGACAAACGGGGGTCCGCGGATCTAGCGTTCCGCATGGTAGAAGCTCGATTGAACCAGCGTTGTTCGACGCTTGCCGCTCTTCCCTCTCATGCGTTCCCTATTCTCCTCCATCTGGGTGCGATAAGGATCCCTCACCACGACCAGACGAGGGGGGCGCCACAAGCGATTAACGCACACCAGAAGACACGAACACTACAGCACAGACTGCCAGCACCACAGCAAGGCCCAGCACGGACAGGGCCAATCACCCAGGGCCGAGACATATTGCCCGTCACCGACACCCTCAGCAGGGGGCTGGTATTCTCCATCGGCACGAGACCAGCCATCCAATCCGAAGCTTGGTCGGGGAGAAGCACAATTGGTCGGCGCCCTTCACCGACCCTATCCTTCGGAAACCAGCTCCAACCCGCATCATGATCACGAACGGCAGCACGAAGACTGCCGGCAATGACATCTATGACACGAGGTATCCACCGCTCCGATCTTGCACGGGGGTCGTGCGCGACCAGAGTGAGGACGAGAGGCGCACTTCGGGCGCGACAATCTTCTGGACCGCACCAAGAAGAAGAAGAAGGCTGTTGACGCCACCAAGATCACTCACATGGGTGAGAGCCCGAAGCCATCCCAACAGCTGGCAAGCAGCGGCATCGACAGCGAAGCGGAATTAGCCCCACCATTGACACCATGGCCATCTTTCGCCGAGGGCTTCCAGCCCGTCTAACCGACGACCTTCGGTAAGACAGGAGTTCCCCAATGCCACCCGTGACCACGCGAGGCTCAAGCCTCAGGATGGGACCTTCCATAAATCGTTAAAGGCTTAACGACTTCTGCCGTCCTTCGACTCGCGCTGGAGCGGCCGCGAAGTGCTCGAACTTTCCCTGGAGATCTCTGGATTTACCTGGATTTACCCAGATGTATCTAGATGTACCTGGATTTACCTCGATTTATCTGCATTCACCTGGGTTTATCTGGCTCGATTCTCACAAGTCGATTGGCGAAAAGTCGACAAGCCCTAAGGGAATAAAGAGGCCCATCAGCGCGTCGCCCGCCATCTCCAGTGTTGACCACTTTTGCTCCGGCAGACCGACAGCAGACCCCACCAGAGACACTGGTTGCTCTTTCCCAAACTCTGGAGGGGGAAAAACACACAGACACCATTAATCGTCGATTCCCCAGAAAATATGGGAAAATATGGGAAGTGGGGGGGAAGACAAAAACCCAGAAAATATGGGAAAATATGTGGAATCCTTTTATTTGTGCGTATTTATTTGTGTGTCCCAGTTTCCCTTCACAAACCCTTTTCTCTGCCGTTGGCCGAACAGCCGCACTCACTGGACAGCCAGCGGCAGCAGCAGCAGCTGGTTCGCACCAACCCCATGCTCCATGACACCCACCTCGCTTCGTGCACACATGCAACGCCAAGTATGCAGCTGTGCCAGCAGAGCCGGAGAGACACCCCCACCCAACCTTCATTCCCCCCTCGCTCCCTTCTCGTCGATATGCCCGCCCCCACTGTTCTTGATGGGCATACTTTCCACCACCCCTATGCAGGACGGGGGAGAAGGGAGGATGAGGAGGACCTCCTCCTCCTCCTCCTCCTCCTCCTCCTCCTTGTCCTTCTCCTCCCTCTCCTCCCCCTCCTCCTCCTCCCCCTCCTCCTCCTCCTCCTCCTCCTCCTCCTCCTCCTCCTCCTCCTCCTCCTCCTCCTCCTCCTCCTCCTCCTCCTCCTCCTCCCTCTCCCTCTCCTCTAGGACCTGTGGCAGCGGTGGTGGCACAGGGGCCCCTCCGTTCTGGGAGCCGCCCGTCCGCCCCCGGTGGGAGAAGGCCCCCTCTGGTTGGACTCGGGCGGACGGGCCCCGGGACGTTCTCCGCCGCGGCTGGGGGAGGAGGAGGAGGAGGAGGAGAACAGGAGGAGGATGAGAATGAGGATGGGGATGAGGATGAGGATGAGGATGAGGATGAGGATGATGAGGAGGAGGAGGATGAGGAGGAGGATGAGGAGGAGGAGGAGGAGGAGGAGGAGGAGGAGCCAAAGCGCGAAGCGCGAGGCGCGAACAGCTCCGCGCCCTCGAGGGCGCCCTTGGTTGACACGCTCTCGTCGCTGTTCGCTCATCCTCATCCTCATCCTCATCCTCCGCCGCGTGTCCCCCTACAGGGGGACTTGCGACGAACAACAAAAGTACCCCAGAGATGCCCCCCAAAAAGGTCAAGACATATTCAAAACATAGTCCCCGGAGCGTTTTTGGATTCTTGTTGGGCTATGTTTTTGGGGGATCTTTTTAATGTTTCGTCGAACATCCCCCTGTATGGGGGACACGCCCGCCTTAAGCCTTGCGCCACCTCCAGCGTTGGCGAGGGCGGCCGCTGCCCGCGCTTCACAGCCGCCGCTCGCCATCCCAGAGAAGCCCCGCCGCCCCCCCAGGCCCGCCCAGGTGCCCGCCGTCCTCCCCCACGCGCGGACGAGGTAGGCCGCTGAGCGTGGCAACGGCTCGCGCGAGGGCTTCTTGAACCAGCCCCGGCACCCCCCGGACAAGGGCCGCTGTGGACCGGGGGAACCAGGGGAACCGTGGAAACTAGGTGGAGGAGGGGGCAGCCGCTGTGGACCGGGGGAACCGCGCGAACTGTGCCGCTGTGGACCGGGGGAACTGTGCGAACCGGGGCAGCCGCTGTGAACCGTGCGAACTGTGGACAGCGGACAAGGGCCGCTGTGGACCGGGGGAACCGTGCGAACTAGGTGGAGGAGGGCAGTCGTCGTTGCCGTCGTAGTCGTCTTGGCCCAGAGCCGTCACGAGGCTGCCTCCTTCCGGGGCGCCGCCGCCGTGCCTCGGCGGACGGGGGCCGTCCGAGCCGCTGTCGGGGGAGAGCGGGCACATGGGAGCGAAGGGGCCTTGGCTGACCATGCGACGGAGTGCAGCTCTCTCCGCCTATCTGGCCGCGCGGTCGCGCATCGCGGGGCGCGGCGCGTGAAGGCGGGTG